AAAATTGGGCTCCACAGTCACTTACAAGAATACTGACCCTGGAAGACTATCCAACTCATCCAATGAGGGATCGCCTAAGTAAGTAAGCTGCCTTGTAAGTACTTTCACTAAAAGTTGGTATACAAATAAACAAATAAAAAATAACATTTTTATTATCTCAAACAGAAGAAAAAAGCAGGAAATAGAAGGGAAACTCTAATATTACAGTAGTGCCAATTTTTTTTAGAAAATAGAGTCTGACATCTCACTTTTAAAAGCAAGTGTTTAGTACTCCTTAGAAGGGCAAAGCAACTTTCTGCACATATCCATCCTACTTATTTTATATATGACACCTTTTTCTTCTTTCAAGTGGAGAAAATTGTCCCATTGTATGGGCACTTGAGATTTAATTATGCTGGTGAAGTACGGCTTTCAGCATATAGGTTGTGAATGCTGGTAACAAAAGCATGTTGTTCTGATGGCATTCTGCCTGTATCTCAGAAAGCTAATGCAATGTTGAAGTGTACTGAATGCAGGCGGTGCTTTTTCTTTCTTTCATTCTTATTGTAAGCAGAAAGAATAATAGAGAACCAGATGTTCCTGCATGCCTAGGCTCCATGAATGGGATGAAGGCAAGGACCAGAGGTTTATTCAATTTGGCCAAAAGTGACAGCACTCTCAAACCAGACATAAAGGCAATGGATATTATTATTATTATTATTATTATTATTATTATTATTATTATTATTATTATTATTTGAAACACAAAAAGATGAATCCACACCAAACAAGATCACTCTGCTGGCTGTTGTATTGGATCACACGTCATACACTTCCCAAATGTCTAGGACTGTGTGATGTATCGGCGAATAATGCATGCAGATTCAAGTAGGGTGGCCTTTTGCAGCTGGCAGATGGTAATCTTGTCAGTGCCAATTGTGTTTAATTAAGTGCAGGCCAAGGTCTTTAGGCACTGCACCCAGTGTGCCGATCACCACTTGGACCACCTTGTCTGGCTTGTGCCACAGTCTTTGCAGTTTGATATTTAAATCCTCATAATCATATCAGCTTTTCCAGTTGTTTCTCTTCAATCCTGCTGTCACCTGGGTTTGCAACATCAACAATCCATACTTTGGGTTGTTGTAGGTTTTTTCGGGCTATATGGCCATGTTCTAGATGCATTTCTCCTGACGTTTCGCCTGCATCTATGGCAAGCATCCTCAGAGGTAGTGAGGTCTGTTGGAACTAGGAAAAAGGGTTTATATATCTGTGGAATGACTAGGGTGAGACAAAGGACTCTTGTCTGCTGGAGCTAGGTGTGAATATTTTAACTGACCACGTTGATTAGCATTTGATTACCTGGCAGTGCCTGGGGCAATCTTTTGTTGAGAGGTGATTAGATTAAATCCATACTTTGTTTTTTAACACGATCATGAGGCCAGGAGTATTGTGCTCCAGAACTCTGTCAGTCTGAACTCGGAAGTCCCAGAGTAGTTTGATGTGTTCATTTTCTGTAACTTTTTCAGGCTTGTGATCCCACCAGTTCTTTGTTGCAGGCGGATGGTATTTGTGGCACAAGTTCCAATGAATCATCTGAGCAACGGTATTATGCCTCTGCTTGTAATCTGTCTGCACGATCTTGCAGCAGCTGAGGATGTGATCTATTGTTTCATCTGCTTTCTTATAAAGTCTACACTTGGGATCTGTCATTGACTTTTCAGTTCTGGCTTTGATGGCATTGGTTCTAATGGCTTGTTCTTGGGCTGCCAGAATCAGACCCTCTGTCTCCTTTTTCAAAGTTCCATTTGTGAACCACAGCCATGTTTTTTCTTTGTCAATTGGGCTCTCAATTTTCCCCAGGAATAATAATAATAATAATAATAATAATAATAATTATTATTATTATTATTATTATTGCTCCGCTTTATCTCTCCTGAAGGGGACTCAAAGTGGCTTAACATAAAAGCATTGCTAGTACACAATTTAAAATATACAAATATACAAACAGTAAAATAGAATTAAATATAAACAGTATTAAAATTTCACAATTAAAAACCATTCAACATATTACATACATATTCAAGTTAAAACCACAGCACTTCCTGACTTGATCTTAAAAACCTAGCCTGAATAAAAAGATTTTAGCCTGTCGCCAGAAGCACAGCCTACCTGCGTGACCGCATCTCCATATATGAACCCACACGTTCCCTTCGATCATCTGGAGAGGCCCTGCTCACGATCCCACCTGCGTCGCAAGCGTGTTTGGTGGGGACGAGGGACAGGGCCTTCTCTGTGGTGGCCCCCCGACTCTGGAACTCTCTCCCCAAGGACATCAGACAAGCCCCAACGTTGGCAATCTTTAGGAAGAGCCTGAAGACCTGGCTGTTCCAGTGTGCCTTTCCAGATTAGGAAACTCCTGGCATCATGTCCCAAATGCACTTTGTTAGAGACTAGGATTGTCTGCACATTGCACCTACCTCCAAAAACCTCTACATACCTCCTGTCAAGTTCAGCACTTTTAAATTTTGTCCATTACATTTGGCCCGGCCTTTAGGTTTTAAATGCGTCATGGTGTCATTGTTTTTTTTAGTGTTTTATTGTTTTTGCTTGATGTTTTATTATTTGCTTATGAGTTTTTACTGTTATATTTGTATGTTGTTGTTTGTTGGCGGCCTCGGCCTTTGTAAGCCGCATCGAGTCCTTCGAGAGATTTTGCGGGGTATAAATAAAGTTAATAATAATAATTTCTGGGAATTGTATGCCAAAAACATCTGGGGACCCCAGGTTGAGAACCACTGCTCTACTGCATAATCTGGTCCATTTTCCCCAACTTGAATAGTGTTTTCCTTGGGGGGGGGGGGGGGGGAGTGTTAAGTAACACTTTGCTGTGTCACATTTTGCCACCTTTTCCAAACAGCGGCCTGGCCATTTCCTAGGCCTTTCCCCCTATGGATTTATCTATTCTTCTATTCCTGGCCATGTTGTTGAAGTGGGAAGAACAAAATGACAACCTGTGCACAAAGATGCCTCAGCTTCTTTCCCGAAGCCTGATAATCTCTTGCGTTATATTGAAAGATAAGCTTTGCAGTCTCATTGGTTCCCATGTGCCCCAAAAGAAAAGAGTAACAGTAATTGGGTTTGATAAGTCCTTTCAGCTTCACTGTTACATCAGATTTTTGCTCCAGGTTGACAGCTCACCACTTGAGTCATTCTGTCTCAGGTGGCACTGCTTCTGTTCCCCTCACTAGGAGTCTCCTACCACCACATGTCTCTTCTTAGGATTGCCAGGGGTCATTCCATGTGCAGCATCTTCCAAGGTAATCGTGCTCTCTCTAAGGACTTGCTCTTGTTGCTGTTTCTTGTCATCACTGATAAAGAAGAGTGCGTTGGAACAATTCTGTAGCTTCAAACTCACAGCACCATCCCTAACTCTTTTATGTATGACTGTCACATTCCCCAAATATCTACCTCCTATGTTTGGAAATTGCCTCTTCCTCAGGGACATCCCTTGTGTGTTCCTAATCTCCGGGCTGTCTGCTCCAATCTATCCAAGGAAATCTCATGCTAGCTAATATGCTAGAAACACAGGCTCAAATTGGTGGATCTTTCAACAGGCCCACCAACTTGGCCTTGCTGCAAGTACAGAAATTACCACAGGTGTTGCAGGCGACTGCAGCAGCTCCTCATCCATATTCAGTAGGTAAACACTGAAATGAACTCCATCCTCCCTATTTAAGCTCCCCTGCTAAATACCAATGCAAAATGCCTTGCCTGTTTGCAGAGCTCCTGTTCAACCACCAACTGATATAGCCCTACCAAGGTTACAACGTTATAGAACTCCAATATGCTGAGGACAACATTGTCTCTGCACATTCAGAAGACCTACAAGCGATTCTAAACACCTTCGCAGAAGCATACGAGAAGCTTGGCCTGTCATTCATTGAACATCGAGAAAACCAAAGTGCTCTTCCAGCAGTCAACAGCTAATCCCTCTCCAATGCCAGAAATACAGCTTAATAGTGTAACATTAGAAAATGTTGACCATTTCCGTTACCTTAGCAGCCACCTCTCCACAAAGTCAACATTGACACTGAAATACAACACCGCCTGAGCTCTGCGAGTGCAGCTTTTTTCCAAATGAAGCAGAGAGTGTTTGAGGACCGGGACATCCGTAGGGATACCAAGGTGCTTGTTTATAAAGCTATTGTCCTCCCAACCCTGCTATATGCCTGTGAGACGTGGACTGTCTATTTTATTTATTATTTATTTACTCCTTTTGTATACCGCCTATATCAGCCATACAAGGCGACTCTAAGCGTCACATGCTTAGATGTCACATGCAACTCCTGGAACGATTCCATCAGCACTGCCTCTGAAAAATCCTGCAAATCTCTTGGGCAGAAAAACGAACAAACATCAGCATGCTGGAAGAAGCAAAGACCACCAGCATTGAAGCGATGGTCCTCCGCCATCAACTCCGCTGGACCGGCCACGTTGTCCGGATGCCCGACCACCGTCTCCCAAAGCAGTTGCTCTACTTCGAACTCAAGAACAGAAAACGGAATGTTAGCGGACAGGAAAATAGATTTAAAGAGGGGCTCATCAAAATCGACACAGCAGCCAGGCACCGGTCCAGCCTCCAAGGGGCTTCCTTGGATTCCGGTGGAAAAGAGAAGTGGAGTTGGGCGTCATCCACGTAGAGATGGCACCCAACTCCAAAACTGCGGATGACCTCTCCCAGTGGTTAACAAACCTCAGACACTATCTAACAGTTGAAGAACAACATTTGGGCCAAAATTGGAGCTCTGAAATCTGAAGCACTTAAGAGATGCCATGGAAAACGTTTTATGAAGGGCATGTTTGTGCAAAGCACAATGGAGGCCAATTAGGAGATGGTTTTTCACACATATTGTAAATTTATTTCCTATATATACTGTACATGATGCCATAAAAACATTAAAAACAAAAATAAAGGAGTTATTAAATATTGAATCCACTGTGTGACTTTTGGTCCACTCCGTATAAGCAACACATGTAGCACCACGATTCCATTTTAACTGTCCTGGTTTCATCGTATGGAACCCTGGGATTTGCAGTTTAGAGACATGTATTTATTTTCAATCAGAGTGCTCTGATGTCTCACTCTGCCAGTTCAACACTTTGCATCTCTTGCTTTTTGTTTCCTCATGGGTGGAATGACAAGCATTTGACTAAAACTCTTTGCAACTTCATGAAGCGTTTTCCTGCTTTCTTCCTGTCGTCCTTTCAGCTCTGCCTTCATCCTTGCTTCTTGCCTCTTGAGATCACTTATCACATCCTCTGCAGTGATTCCTCCTGTAATGGCGTTGTTGGGTGCTATTGATTTGATGGAATCCTTTTTGTGGGTCTTTAAAGATTTCCCTTTAAATACAAGTCTGTATGGGCCATGTATTTTCTTGATTCTGTAAGCATGGGTATGGGATTGGAAATCTGACAGTTTCAGGGCCACAGCTGCTTCTATTCTTTTGGTAGTCCTGCTGAACTCCCCTTCTATTAGCTGTCCTTGTTCTCTTGCTCTGACCTATAAAGAAAAAAGGTGATAGTTAAGTTGTGTGACACAGAATCACAGATCTGGAATAAGCCACAAGGCCATCCAGTCCAACCTCATGCCATGCAGGAACACACTCCTAACAGAAGGCTTTCTGTTCAGATTCAATGGCGTTTAGCTTCACAACTATGTATGTTTTTACTAATTCCCTGCAGATAACGTACCCCTATTTTTATCTCATTAGAGCAGTGGTTCTCAACCTTCCTAACGCCGCGACCCCTTTATATAGTTCCTCATGTTGTGATGAGCCCCAACCCTAAAATTATTTTCGTTGCTACTTCATAACTGGAATTTTGCTACTGTTATGAATCGTCATGTAAATATCTGATAGGCAGGATGTATTTTCATTCTCTGGACCTTGGGAGTTGTAGTTGCTGGGATTTATAGTTCACCTATAATCAAAGAACATTCTGAACTCCACCAGAGATGGAATTGACCCAAACTTGGCACACAGAACGCCCATGACCAGCAAAAAATAATGAAAGGGTTAGGTGAGCATTGGCCTTGAGTTTGGGAGTTGTAGTTCACCTATCTCCAGAAAGCACTGTGGACTCAAACAATGATAGATCTGGACTAAACTTGGCACGGATACTCAATATGCCCAAATGTGAACACTGTTGGGAGTTTGGGAAAAATTGACCTTGACATTTGGGATTTGTAATTGCTGGGATTTATAGTTCACCTAAAATCAGAGAGCATTCTGAACCCCACCAATGATAGAATCGGGCCAGACTTCCCACACAGAACTCCCATGACCAGCGGAAAATACTGTGTATCCTGATGGTCTTTGGCGACCCCTTCAACACCCCATCGCGACCCCCCCCCACAGGGGTCCTGACCCCCAGGTTGAAAATCATTGCATTAGTGTCTTGGAATCATACATATGGCCCGCCCATTGTTATTGTGATTGTGCCTATTGGAATGTTATTTTATGACTGTGTTTATAATTTTTTTTCTTTCTTGATGTAATCTGATGATGTTATTTATTGTTTATGCTCTGGTTTTATTTTGTTGTAATATGTTGTCCGGGCTTGGTCCCATGTCAGCTGCTCCGAGTCCCCATTGGGGAGATGGTGGTGGGGTATAAATAAAGATTATTATTATTATTATTATTATTATTATTATTATTATTATTATTATAATATTTCTAGTATTTGGCAATAAAATGATGCTCTCAGTGGAAAACCTCTTATGAGAACTCCAAAACAGACAGTTATCCGTTCTATTTAAAAAAAACCTCCAGAGAAAAAAACTCCATCACATATTGAGGCAGCATATTCCACTGTGAGAGCAGCAGTGACCATCAAGAAGTTCTTTTTAATGTTTAGGTGCAATCGCTTTTCCTGAAATTTGACTTCACAACTCAGGGCCCATCTACACTGACCACTTAGGTCAATGTGTACTAGGATCAGCTTTGTGGTGGCTAAAAATTGCATGTAGCTGATTCCTTGACTTTTGGGATATAAAGACAATTGGGTTGTTTACTAACTGGAACTGGCCACAGTTAATAAAGGTTGGGTAGATGTAACCAAGCCTCAGCTTGTTCAAGGTGGACAAAAGCTTTCTAATTTGTGCATTCTGATGATATAAGCAGGTTCATTGGAGAGGTAAGAATCATCACATTTATTGCTACTTATTTATTTGTTGGATAAACCAGAAGGGGACTGGGTGAATGGGTAGGGAGAGTGCTTAATATCTCTGTAAAAGAAGGCAAGATCACAACATGACTGAAAGAAATACGTTGTAAGACCTCTTCCAGTAAAAAAAAAAAAGCCCTTCCTCGGACCCTATTACACTGAACAACAATAAAACAATTTCCAATCACTGGGTTGTTGTAGGTTTTTCCAGGCTACTTGGCCATGTTCGAGAGGCATTTTCTCCTGACGTTTCGCCTGCATCTATGGCAAGCATGCTTGCCATAGATGCAGGCGAAACGTCAGGAGAGAATGCCTCTAGAACATGGCCATATAGCCTGAAAAAACCTACAACAACCCAGTGATTCCGGCCATGAAAGCCTTCGACAATACAATTTCCAATAATCCCTTTTGGGTGCTGTAAAAGAGCATGTTGTTAAAGTGGGTTTATGCTTCCCCGAAAAATACTGGTTCACAGTTGCGGATATTTTTGGATTCAACCCTCAGTCTGAAGGCGCAAGTTACAGCAATGCATCTGTACGTCTAGTGTGCCAACTGCAACAATTGCTGGAAAAGTCAGATATGACCATGGTAATACATGCATGGTTACAACCTATTTATTTATTTATTTCCGGTATTTCTATCCCGTTCTTTCTCAACCCCCGAAGGGGGACTCAGGATGGCTTACATTTGGCAGCAATTTGATGCACGCCACTACATCGAATATATAACAGAGCAATATAATAACAATTAAAACAATAAGTAAAACATTCATTAAAACAGTATTAATAGCCGTATCATCATTCCAGTCAATTCCATATCCATTTGGATTAATGCAATGCTAATCTACTTTGCAGATGACACCCAATTTGGAGGGCAGGTTCAGAATTCAGAATGACTGTAACAGATTGAAGAACTGGGCCAAAATGTTAAAAAAATCAACTTCAACAGGGAAAAATGTATGAGATTACACTTGGCTGAAATGAAATTGGCACTTATAGGATGTATGGCATCTGCCTTGACTATACATGGGGGAGGAATCTGGGAGTCTAAATAGGCCACCATCTGTAATGCAGCAATTGAAAAAAAGGAGATGTGATTTAAAGATTCTGCTTTGGTTAGACTTCACCTGGAACACTGTGTACAGTACTGGATACTGCAATTTAAGAAGAAGAATGACAAGCTGGAATGTGGCAACCGGAGAGTAAACAAAACAGTCAATGGTCTGGGAAACGTGATCTATGAGGAGTGGCTCAGGGAACTGGGTATGTTTAGCCTGGAGAAGAGAGATGACCATGTTTAAATATTTGATAGCTGACCATGTTTAAATATTTGATAGCCATGTTTAAATATTTGAAACAATGTCATAATGAAGATAGGAGAAGCTTGTTTTCTTCTGCTCTAGAGACTAGGGCATGGAAAATGGATTAACACTGTAGTAAAATAGGTATTAGAAAGAACCTCCTGATGGTAAAAGCTGATGGACAGCAGAATACACTGCCTTTGAATGTGTTCTGCAATCTCCTTCTCTAAAGGTTTTAAAACAGAAACTGGATGATCATCTGTTGGGAATGCTTTAACTGTGGGCTTCCTGCATGGCAAGGGATTGTAATGGATGACCATTGTGGTCTCTTTCAACTCTATAATCCTATAATTAAAGAGAGAAGTTGCTGAACATAGTTACAAGGCATCCTCACCCTTCAGAGATAATAATAATAATAATAATAATAATAATAATAATAACAACAACAACAACAACAACACTTTATTTGTACCCCGCTACCATCTCCCCAAGGGACTCGGTGCGGCTTACATAAGGCCGAGCCCAACACAACAATACAAGCAATAATCACAACAATACAAGCAATTAAAATAAAAACATAGACAATAAACATATAACATTATCAATAAGACAACATACAATTAAAACTGTATGAAGGCCAAATGTAAAAATTAAAATTGGAAATAGCGCTGAGGCATGAACGAAAAGGTGATAGTGGCGTTTGTGGAAAGACATATGAGTAGACCTAAGAATATAAAGTGCTTTGGAGGGACATAGTGCTATGGGATCATTATTCCGGGAAGGCACACTGGAACAACCACATCTTCAAGCTCCTCCTAAAGACTGCCAGGGTTGGGGCCTGCCTGATGTCCTTAGGGAGTGAGTTCCAGAGTCGAGGGGCCACCACCGAAAAGGTCCTCTCTCTCGTCCCCACCAATCGAGCCTGCGATGCTGGTGGAATCGATTCCAAACACTTTCTCATACATCCTGCACCACCAATATTCAGCATTCCATGGCTAATTAATATGATTAATCATCTTTAGGGAGGTTGATGCATTATTTTTTTCCTGCCAAAATGTTTTGAAGATTCCATCAGAATGCTGATAATTCCTTTTTTTTTCTGTGTGGTGTCATTTTGTCTAAAGGATTAGCACTTGCAAAATAAATGCATATTGGTATAACTAATATAATACAAATAAAACATTGGATGCATTGGTTAGGACGGCAGGGAACTGCATTTCAAGAACACATTTCTATACACATAAGGATGAAAATAAATTTGAAGCAATAACCATAAAGAAACTATTAACATTAGATCTGTTAATTCTATCAAATTAGATTTCCAATAGATTTTTCAATTGACATGTTACCTTGCTAGAGTGGTTATGTTTCTTGAATATTACAAGCTTATGTAGCTCCTCACATAAATTCATCAGGTCAGCTCTTAACCTGTCAAGTTCTTCAATAGTTCTGTTAAGCTCTGGGTAATACAGATCTGCACTTAGCAAAAGAGGATCTTTGTTACATACATCTTGAGTTTTTGTCTCTTTTGTTTCAGAATCTAAAACAGTCTCCTGTGTGATTGAAGAAGAGAAAATCCAAAGCTTATTATTTTATAAAAATCTCCCATAATTAGAGATACTTGTCCTCACATTCTTCCTAAAGCCATTAAGATAACAAAATGTTTTAATTAACTTTACTTCCAATCTCTACTTGTATAATGATACACTGATCTTGATCTTAGATAGTATTGGAATGTATCTAAGCTAAAATGTGTTCAGAGGAGGGCGACTAAAATGATCAAGGGTCTGGAGAACAAGCCCTATGAGGAGCAGCTTAAAGAGCTGGGCATGTTTAGCCTGCAGAAGAGAAGGCTGAGAGGAGACATGTTGGCCATGTATAAATTTGTGAGGGGAAGTCATAGGGAGCAGGCTTGTTTTCTGCTGCCCTGGAGACTAGGATGTGGAACAATGGTTCAAACCACAGGAAAGGAGATTCCACCTGAACATTATGAAGAACTTCGCAATTGTGAGAGCTATTCAGCAGTGGAACTCTCTGCCCCAGAGTGTGGTGGAGGCTCCTTCTTTGGAGGCTTTTAAGCAGAGGCTGAATGGCCATCTGTCGGGGGTGGTTTGAATTCGATTTTCCTGCTTCTTGGCAGGGGGTTGGACTGGATGGCCCATGAGGTCTCTTCCAACTCTATGATTCTATGATTATGTCCCTCAAGCAGTATTATGCAAGTGGGCATAACAATTACCATGATTTTAGAACAGCTGATCTAATCTAAATATAAATAAATGCGGCTTACAGATTAGTTATTCATATAATTAATTCATCTGTCTTTTTTTTTCAAACCCGCAAAATCTTTACAGTGTTTGCAAATTGAAATGAAATATGTAAGAACGGCACTCCAAATATAATTTAAATCATACCATCCAAAGCCAATACAGAGGTTCCATAGATTTCCATTTCAAAAAGGCTTCCAGTCGAGAACTTTCAGATTCTATCAAATGCAACAACTGGGGGGGGGGGGGGGGGGGGAGAGGGACAACATTGCACTTCATTATTAATTATTAATTCATAGAAATACTTGTAATTTCACTTCTACTGCTTACATAACACGCCAAACAAATAACTTAATGAAATAGTGTAGCACTGTTTTTTATATTCAGTGGATATAGTTAATGAATGAGGCTTCTCTCATTAGGTCGTTCTTTCATTTCAGAATTTTCTATTAAACTTGCCCTTTAAATATACATATCTGACAGGACTGATTTTAGAAAGTTTAGAAAGATGTTATTTGTCCTGTTATTTCAAGGATTTCAAATTCAGTTTTCTCCCTGATAACTTTTCTGATACCCCCCACCCAGAAATCCCAGCCAGTTTAGCAGCTGTTAGGATTTTTGGGAGTTGAAGGCCAAAACATCTGGGGACGCACTGGTTGAGAACCACTGCTGTAGACCATAAGCTACACAAGGCAACTGTGTGAGGCAGCAGCTAGAGAGGCCAATGCGATTCTCGGCTATAGTACAGTATCTAGATTTAGGAAGGACAAGAGACCTCTTCCAGAAAATTAGAAACATTGTAGGTAAATTTCAGGCAAAAATTGGCATGATAAAAATCAAAGATGGCAGGGACTTAACAGAAGCTGAAGAGATCAAGAGAAGGTGGTGAGACTATACAGAAGACCTGTATAGGAAGGATAATAATATCTAGGTGCAAAGATTACTGCAGACGCAGACTGCAGCCAGGAAATCAAAAGATGCTTACTTCTTGGGAGGAGAGCAATGACCAATCTCAATAGAATAGTGAAAAGTAGAGACATCACACTGGCAAAGAAGATCCGCATAGTTAAAGCAATGGTATTCCCCTTAGTCACCTACAGATGTGAGAGCTGGACCATAAGGAAAACTGAGCGAAGGAAGATAGATGCTTTTGAATTGTGGTGTTGGAGGAAAGTTCTGAGAGTATGTTGGACTGCCAGAAGATCCAACCAGTCCATACTTCAGGAAATAAAGCCCGACTGCTCATTGGAGGGAAGAATAGTAGAGGTCAAGATGAAGTATTTTGGCCACATCATGAGAAGAAAGGAAAGCTTAGAGAAGACAATGATGCTGGGGAAAAAGGAAGGAAAAAGGAAGGGCAAGATAGCTGGTTGGTATCCTTGAAGTGACTGGCTTGACTCTGAAGGAGCTGGGGGTGGTGATGGCCGACAGGGAGCTCTGGCGTGGGCTGGTTCATGAGGTCACAAAGAGTTGGAAGCGACTGAACGAATGAACAACAACAATCTAGATTTAAGGAAGTCATAGTCTCACTCTATCTCCAGACCTCATCTGGAACATAGTGTTGTTTTGGACATCAAAATTCAAGAAGAATATTGACAAGCTGGAAGGTGTCCAGAGAAGGGCAACCAAAGTGATCAAAAGTTTGGAAGCCATGACCTATAGAGTTTTATAATCATAGGCTGGTTGGACATCTGTCAGGGGTGCTTTGATTCTGTGTTCTTGCATAGCAGGGGATTAAACCGGATGGCCCTTGTGTTTCTTCTATGATTGCTGTTGAAGGATGTAGCCCAGGAAGAAGGAGAAGAATACTAGAAGGGAGCTGAAGATAGTGCCTTCAGAAATTTGTTGGACATTGTTTCTTGGTTCACAGAAACCAAGGGAATGGTGTCGGTTTCAGACAGTCTCATACTGTTTCTCTCCCTTGATGAAAAACAAGCACAAAGGGCAGAGTTGTCCCTATTCTCCCAGTGTCTGAAACAGCATATCAATTAACTGACAAATCAATGTGAAAACATCCTCACAAGCCCTTTCATTTAAAATATTAAATTTATTTTCTACAGATTGCATAAAAAATTAATGATACTTCATGCGTATCTACTGACTTCAGTAAGTCTATTGAAGTGTAACTATTCAGAACCAACCAACTGCTTGCTGTTCTTTTTTCCAGAAATAAAGCAAGTTTTGAAGTCAGAAATTTGCCCAAATCCTGACACCAAGGTTTAAACATAAAAACAGAATAAATAAAAAAGAACAAATAAAGATATGTGGAGGCGGTGAGAAGAAGAATAAAATGACACAGACAAAGCCAGCAGTTATAAAGACTAGCAATTAGCAGCAGCAATGCAGTAATGTCTGGTGGCCTTTTCAAGGTCCAGTACATCAAAGGACCAACCAATCACTCTTGGATTCATTAAGTCTCCCATTTCAGGTAAAATGTGGTTTGAGGCCTGGAAATTCTGTGAAAAAGTAGTTTTTAAATTTAGTCACATAAATTTAGCAATAGTATTTCTCCACCAAATTCCTAACACAGCATTATGTCAGCAGGAAATTACCTGCTTGTAACTCTCAGGTTTTCTCACAACATCTACTTCTGTGGTTGAGAAATGGCCAATGATGGGGTTAGCATTAGAGCCTAATGTATATGAATGTACCTGAAACAGAAAGATATGAATTAGAATGATACACCCATATATCAACGAACACTTTACAAAATGTTTATATTTCAACTGACGCTTGAGATTAGTAAGTTTCTAACAAGCATGATATGACTGGACTGCCACTCTCATTAACTCATCTCATAATCTAAGATCATCCAGAGAGGCCCTGCTCTCGCTCCCGTCAACAGCACAGATTCGTCTGGTGGGGACGAGAGACAGGGCCTTCTTGGCTGTGGCCCCCCACCTATGGAACACACTCCCAAATGAGGTGAGATCTGCTCCCTCCCTCCTGGCTTTTAGAAAAAAAATTAAAATCATGGTTTTGGGACCAGGCCTTCAGGCAGTAGAAGTAAATGCATTCAGCATTTCAGAAAGACAATGACTGGAACGGCGATTTGACGGGCGATACTGTTTTATTGTTTTAATGATTGTTTTATAGCTTGTGGATGTACTGTTTTTAACTTGATTTATGTCTAATTGTAGTGTATAATTGTAATTGTTTGTACTGGCATTGAATTTTGCCATTACTTACATGTAAACCACTTTGAGTCCCCTTCGAGGTGAGAAAAGCGGTATACAAATACTGTAAATAAATAATAAATAACTCCAGCCAAATGAGCCGCAGGAGTTGCAAACCAGCAACATCTCTAGGGCCTACAATATACTCAGCCCTGCTCATTAGTTATTATAGGAGTATTGGGATCATCACAAATTATGGCTTAGTCACAACCTATGTTTTGGTTTTGGAGATCAAGTGGAACCTTAATTCCCAACAATCAAAGTCTAGCCATCTGCTAAAGTAGAAGAGTCCAGCATCATGGCAGGTAAGGGAAGATGGGGTGTGCAAGTCTTACATGGGTGATAATTCACTTCAAACTAGTTTTATTTTAACCCTTTTTAAAACCAGTAAGAGTGATAATGAGTAGAAGTACACATTTAAAATCCTGAACATTACCTTATGCAGAAGCTTGCATTGCTCTTGCTGTTCAGTATGACAATTTCGCCAATGGAACTCCAGTTGACCATTTAACCATTGCAAGTATCGAATATCTCTGTGGCCTTTCACATGAGCGGCTTCATCTAGGTTTCTCTCAATCTGCATACTTTTCACAGCAGTATCACACTAACATTAGGAGAGAGTAGCAAAATCTTTTAAAAGTTATGTTTGCCCTTATGAAATGTATCTTCAAAATAAATGACTTGTGCACATGCTCACCTTTTATACCAATACAATCACTTTCTTTGAGCATTTAAAACATTTCCTAGAAATACAGAATCATTAATTTACAGTGGCCATCCAGTTCAACTTTCTGCCATGCAGAAACACCAATCAAAGTACTCCTGATAGATAGTAATTCTTTCTCTGTATCTATTCCCAAAAGAAAACTCCACCACACTCTGAAGCAGCATGTTTCATTATTTTTACAGCTTTTCCCATCAGGATGTTCTTCTTAGTGTTTAGGTGGAATCTCATTTCCTGTAGTTTGAATACATTGCTCCAGGTTCTAGAGCAGAAGAAAAGAAGCTTGTTCCCTCTTCAATATGTCATCTTTTCAAATACTTAAAACATATCAAGACACTTCTTTGCCTTCTCTTCTATAGCGTAATAATGCTCAGCTCTTTAAGCTCCTCCTCATAGGGCATGGTTTCCAGACTGGACTGCCACTCTCATTAATTCATCTCGTAATCTAAGATCATCCGGGGAGGCCCTGCTCTCACTCCCATCAACAGCACAGATTAGTCTGGCGGGACGAGAGACAGGGCCTTCTCGGCTGTGGCTCCCCGCCTATGGAACACACACCCAAATGAGGTGAGATCTGCTCCCTCCCTCCTGGCTTTTAGGAAAAAAATTAAATCATGGTTTTGGGACCAGGCCTTTGGACAGTTGCCAAAAGGTTGCCCTTCCCTGAACATATTCCATCTTATGAATAATAATAATAATAATAATAAACTTTATTTATACCCCGCCACCATCTCCCCCAATGGGGACTCGGGGCGGCTCACATGAGGCCAAGGCCAAGCAACAAATTACAATGAAATAAAATACAGTAAAATAACAACCGAAATGCAAACAATATCACAGTAAAATACAAAACATATGAATACAGTAAACAATCTACAAAAAAACATGGAAAGCAATAAACAAACATAATTTTAATGTACATGTGGGTCACATGTACATTAAAATGATTTAAAAACTCAGGGTGAGATAAAAGGAGCAGATTATTTGCAAGGGAGATCTCATAGCAAAACAGGGTAATAGACATACCTTCATACAAGGGGGGGAGGGGTACTCCTAGGACAAAAACGTTGAGGGGAGCAATAGCTTAAGATTGTGTGGCTAATCTCCAAAGAGCAGCTGAAAAGCCGGGTCTTGATATTCTTTTTAAAGGTTTATAAGGTAGGGGCTTTTCTAATCTCTCCGGGCAATGATTTCCAGAGTCGGGGAGCCACAGAGGAGAAGGTTCTCTCCCTTGTACCCACAAGGCGAGCCTGAGAAACTGGCAGGACCGAAAGAACGGCCTCCCCTGAAGATCGAAGAGCTCGGGCTGGTTTATGGAGAGAGATACGGTCACGAAGGTAGGCGGGTCCTCCCAAACCTTTTAGGGTATTATAGGTAAGAACCTGTACCTTGAATTGGGACCGGAAGATGAACAGCAGCCAATGAAGCTCCTTAAACAGGGGGGGGGAGGGGGGGGGGTTTGACCGCTCCCTGTAAGTTTCTCCAGTTATTAATCTGGCTGCCGAGCATTGGACAAGTTGTAATTTCCAGGCCGTCTACAAGGGTAGCCCCACGTAAAGTGCATTGCAGTAGTCCAATCTAGAGGTAACTAAGGCATGGAATATCCTTCTTGAATTGTATCATTTGAATGGTACTGTCATTACCCTCCATCTAGATAATAATATGCAATCACTCGTGGCTGGGTATGATTGTCTTCCAAAAGTAGAGTTTTGGCGGTGGGTCCGTAAATGACTGTGAAGACTTAATTGATACACATGGTCTTCCACATTGAAGGCATGGAAAGGCGGAAAGCTGTCACACTTCTTTGTTTCATCTTTTATTCATGCCTCCTCAAAATCCATAGCATCTTTGTTAACAGCATTATAAAATGCATTATATGGAAGTATAGATGGGGCCTTAGAAAGAAAAGTCATACTCACAAAAAGTCAAGACAGGTTTTTCAAAATCATGTCATGCCAGACAAACCTTGTCTCCTTTTTTTATAGAGTTAGAAGCTTGGTAAAGGTAAAGATTCCCCCTTGGCATTAAGTCTAAGGCAGTGTTTCTCAAACTCTGCTCCTAAAGACGTTTTGTTGGACTTTAGTTCCCAGAAATCCCAGCCAGCTTACCAGCTGTTAGGAATTGTGAGAGGCCGTCCAAAACATCTGGAGGAGCAGAGTTTGAGAAACACTGGTCTAAGATATATGGCAAAAGGAGACGAACAACATAACCAATTAGCCTTATTGCTGCAGTCATTTACACAAAAGGTCCTCAAAATCACAGCAGGGATTGTGATAGGCAGAAAAGATCAGTAATTTTATTAAGAATCCAAAAGAGAGAGGACAATTGTGGACAGTTATGGTTGTCTATATTGAAAGGAAACTGGAACATTCATTACTTCTTGATGAAAGCGACGTGAGAAAACAGTCCCATTTCAGTTCACTTCAGTAGAGCTCACTCAGCAGGCTAGCCCTATTCATGCATTGGTACAGCTTAATCATGGCAAGACACAGTAGCATACTTTGAACTTAACTTGATAAGGAATGTTTGAAAAGGAGCACTAATTGCCTTTGGCTGAATCCAATTATAGTGCTCCATGTGACTGAAATCAACTTTACAAAATTCCCAACCACAGGGAGCACTTGAACTCCAAATATGGTTATAATTATTTCTCATTCACCCCTGCCAACTTGGAGATATGAAAGATGGAGGCAGAACATGTGTTCCTATATCTTCTCCATGATTAGGCTGCTTAAACACTTAAATTGGATTGCAATTTATCATTAGCTCCTAAATCAATCCTGAACAACTTGTGGCCGTCCAGGTGTTTTGGCCTTCAGCTCCCAGAATTCCTGACCATTGGACAAGCTGGCTAAGGTTTCTGGGAATTGGAGTCCCAAACACATGGAGGGCCTGAGATTGTGGAGGTCTGTCCTACACTATTTGTTGCAAATTAAGGAGTTTCGTGAAACATATTGGGAATGTAACTATGAAGCTTTTTTTTTTGTCGTGTCAGGAGTGACTTGAGAAACTGGAAGTCGCTTCTGGTGTGAGAGAATTCGCTGTCTGCAAGGACGTTGCCCAGGGGACACCCGAATGATTTGATGTTTTTATCACCCTTGTGGGAGGCTTCTCTCATGTCCCCGCATGAGGAGCTGGAGCTGATAGTGAGAATTCATCCGCCTCTCCTGTCGGTCTTCAGTCCTGCCGGCATAGGGGTTTAACCCACTGCGCCACCGGGGGCTCCTACTATGAAGCTGATCCTTCTTTTGACCCTCAGTGTCACTTACACCAAAGTGAAGAAGAAAAGCACCAAGAAGTACTGCTTATCTCAACATCTAGCTGCTGGCAAAAAGAGCTTTGAAAAGTATTCAAAAACTTACCATGCAGACAACTGTTTCGTCCCAAAGTTTCAATCTACTTAGTGCCAGTGACTGTTTCACTAGGTTCACATTGCAGAGAAGCCAAGAAAAAACCAGCAGCAGCTCCTTGCTCCCCAGTGACCCATCGGAAGGAAGTTGGTAAAATTTCAGTCTTCTGTAGCCATGGCTCAAGACTACAGATTTGACAAATCTGACCTGGGTGCCTAAGGAGGAAATAAGGACAGCATAATTACTTTCCAAAGTAATTCCAAACACCTTGTAATAAATAGAATAAATCAAATGGAACAAACTTTCCATGCAACAGTAGAGGTCACTAGCTGTACTTGAATAACACAATTGCTCACTGCATGTAATTTTTTGCCCCATGAGTAAGGCATATAGCTGAAATACATCAGAGAACGTGGGTTCTTGTAGGTTTTTCGGGCTATATGGCCATGTTCTAGAAGCATTCTCTCCTGCATCTATGGCAAGCATCCACAGAGATTGTGAGGTCAGACCTCACAACCTCTGAGGATGCTTGCCATAGATGCAGGCAAAATGTCAGGAGAGAATGCTTCTAGAACATGGCCATATAGCCCGAAAAACTTACAACAACCCAGTGATTCCAGCCATGAAAGCCTTCGACAATACATCAGAGAATGGTATTTAATGAAATTATAGCTGAATATACCTAGGCCTTAAACTGTTATGTACTGCATTGTTTAATTCATTTAGCTTCATCCTGAGTCTAATTTCAATATGTTATTGAGTCCCTGGTTGAATCATAAAACAATCATGATATTATATCAGGAACATGTTAGCAAGACCTAGCTGACTAGTCAGATGTGGTTCAAGAACAAATTCCAAAGCACATGCAGAACATGGAAGTCTCTGGTAAGAGACATTACAGAACCTAGCAAACAGAACTGAGCAGTGCCATGGAAATGCAGGGTGTTTCAAAAAGATGGAACTGATTTGAAATTGTTGTATCTTTACAATCAAGAACCACCTGTGAATGAAGCTCTTACTATCTGAATGGATGGAGCAAAGGATTTGACTACTACTAGATGCCTCTCCAAGTGCACAAACACATTTATCCTCGGTCATCAGCAAGAGCAGTTTGTTGAGGGGATACCATCTTGCAAATAACAGAGGTTAAGGTTGCAAAGATATAGCAATTTCACACCAGATCCATCTTTTTGAAACACCGTGTATTTCCAGCTTCCTTGGCTTAACTGGGTGGCTTATGCAAACAAGGGTATTCAAACTTTCCAAGACATCAAGGGAATTTTTGTAATGGGTGCCACTTTATTAACTGTGCTTTTTATTATGGCTTTTCCTGATTTTATTGCTTTCCTTTCTCTGAACTTCCCTAGAAATATGGAATAAACAAATAAAGATACTATATCTGAATGTGCATGCACAAGTATATAAGTGCATGTGTATCAATAATGTTGCCCTCCAAAAGGATGTACAATATTAGTAGCATTATACAACCTATATCAGGAGATTCCATTTGTCCTCCATTGTGGATCTGCTTCAGCAAAGTGTACAATAGTTTCCAAAAAGGGACACTCTGTTAAGAAAAATAACAGCACTCAGAACATATTATATTATCATAATTTTGCTATGTACCATGTTCTCACAGATAATACAGTGGTTACTTCCATTCCTCTTTTAACAATCCTGAAGAAAGAAAAAGATTTTCAAAGAAATCAGGATAAATGTTCTGACTTATTTCACATTCTTGGAAATGAATCACATGGTATTCAATACAGATAATGGGATGCTGCTTTGAAAGCAAAGCACTGTCTTCAAGCAGTGTGGCTGCCATGTTTGTGTCACAACAAAAGAGAGACACCTTGGGAATTATGGAATTTCACACTCAAGTCCTTATTTACTCAGAACGTTCTGCTTAGTTCAGTGGGACTTACTTCTAAGCATAATTACTTAGGACTGCAGTTTATAGAAATATGCCCACATCTATGATGGCTTCTAGAGGAGGGCTGGGCGAAGCGTGGCACATAGGCAACATGCAACACCACAGCAGTTTTGTGACCTCGACTCCTCCAGGGGATGTATGGGGCATTTTTGTCGTTTTAGTACAATGGCCCAAGGGGAGACCTTAGAACAGGGCTTCTTAAATCTTTTTCCACTCATAACCCCTTTCCACCTGAGAATTTTTATATGACCCCAGGTATACAAAATAGGAATAAAAATTTAGTGATAACAAACCGACAATTGCAAGGCTTGCTAAATAGGCTGATATTCTTTTTGTGGAGTCCAGCTAAAGAATTTCCAGCAGAGTCCACTGTAAAAATTGCACATCACTAATAATATATTTATGTAAATATCTAGGTCAGTGGCTCCCAACCTGTGTTCCGTTGACCACAGTGGTCTGCAAGAACTAAAATATAGTCCACGGCCTTACCATTTCCACTGCAGATAACACAGCCCAATCAAAAAAAATTTTTTTCTTGGTGTCTTTGTATTTAGGCCTGTTCCTGCAGTTATTTGGGGTGCTGATTCAGAAAATTGCATTTAATCATCAGCTCTAGATGATTAAATATATTTTTCTATGGGAGAGCAGATGGCGATTACTGGATGGCATATGTTCTGTATCAGAAACTAGAGCTGATGTGGTCTATTCAATTTTCTGAATCAGCACCCCCAAATAACCAAACTAAATCTAAAGTTGATAAAAAACTGATTCATAACCCTTTCAATTCAATTTTCTGCATCAACACCCCAAATAACCACACTGAATCTAAAGTTAACCAAAAACTGATTTGTAACCCTTTCGGTACTATTTGAGAATGGTCCCTGGTCAAAGAAAGTTGGGAATCACTGGTCTAGGTGGTGTTCAGAAACCTTTCGTGATTGCAGATATTTTTGTGACTCCAACATTGAGCTGCTGGAGTGATCCTATTTGGGGTCAGGATCTGCAGTTTAAAAAGCAGTGCTTTAGAACATAGTGAAAATAACCCAGTAATAGTATGATAGCTGGGCTGGAAGCTCTGAGCATTATGCTGTTTCTGCTTCGCTCCTTCGGGAGAGCTGTTTGTGCAACGCAGAACAGAACACGTGGCCGAGACAGATATTATAGAAGGGATGTAAGAGTTATTTAATGCTAAAACCCTAACACTTACACAAACCTTACCCTAAGCCTAACCCTTAACCCTAAACAAACCCTTAACCTTACCCTAAGACAGTGTTTCTCAACCTGGGGGTCGGGAACCCTGAGGGGCTTGCGAGGGTGTCAGAGGGGTCGCCAAAGACCATAAGAAAACACAGTATTTTCTGATGGTCATGGTGATTCCATGTGGGAAGTTTGAGCCAATTCTATCATTGGTGGAGTTCAGAATGTTCTTTGATTGTAATGAACTATAAATCCCAGCAACTACAACTCCCAAATATCAAGATCTATTTTCCCCAGACTCCACCAGTGTTCACATTTGGGCATATTGAGTATTTATGCCAAGTTTGGTCCAGATCCACCATTGCATGAGTCCACAGTGCTCTCTGGATATAGGTGAACTACAGCTCCCAAACTCAAGGTCAATGTCCATCAATAAAACCCTTCCAGTGTTTTCCTTTGGTCATGGGATCCAAGTTTGGTTCAAATCCATCGCTGGTGTTCAGAATGCTCTTTGATTATAAGTGAACTATAAATCCCAGCAACTACAACTCCCAAATTACAAAATCAGTCCTCCACCAACCCCACTACCATTCACATTTGGGTGTATTGGGTATTTGTGCCCAGTTTGGTCCAGGGAATGAAAATGCATCCTGCAGATCAGATATTTACATTATGATTTATAACAGTAGTAAAATGACTGTTATGAAGTAGCAACGAAAACAATGTTATGGTTGGGGGTCACCACAACATGGGGGACTGGATTAAGGGGTCACAGCATTAGGAAGGTTGAGAACCACTGCCCTAAGCAGTGATTTTCAACCTGTGGGATTCCCCGGATGTTTTGGCCTACAACTCCCAGAAATCCCAGCTAGTTTACCAGCTGTTAAGATTTCTGGGAGTTGAAGGCCAAAACATCTGGGGATCCAGTTTGAGAACCACTGCCCTAAAGCAACTACGAACTAAATGCAACTATTAAGTATATTCCCGCCCTCAGTGTGGCGCTCCTACTCCGCTCCCTCTCTAGACCACATTGTCCCTTCCCTTATTCTCAATTGTCATTGTGGAAAATTTTGCCCCTAGAATCATAGAATTGGAAGCGACCTCGTGGGCCAGGGGTCCTCAAACTTTTTAAACAGAGGGCCAGGTCACAGTCCCGCAAACTGTTGGAGGGCTGGGCACGAATGAATTCCTATGCACACTGCACATATCTTATTTGTAGTGCAAAAAAATCCACTTAAAAACAATACAATAATTAAAATGAAGAACAATTTTAACAAATATAAACTTATTAGTATTTCAATGGGAAGTGTGGGCCTGCTTTTGGCTGATGAGATAGGATTGTTGTTGTTGTTGGGTGCTTTCAAGTCATTTCAGACTTAGGTTGACCTTGAGCGAGGGCGGGTAAATGACCTTGGAGGGCCGTATCCGGCCCCGGCCCTTAGTTGGAAGACCCCTCATGGGCCATCCAGTCCAACCCCCTGCCAAGAAGCAGGAATATTGCATTCAAATCACCCCTGAAGATGGCCATCCAGCCTCTGTTTAAAAGCTTCCAAAGAAGGAGCCTCCACCACTCTCCGGGGCAGAGAGTTCCACTGCTGAACAGCTCTCACAGTCAGGAAGTTCTTCCTAATGTTCAGATGGATTCTCCTTTCTTGTAGTTTGAAGCCATTGTTCTGCGTCCTAGTCTCCAGGGCAGCAGAAAACAAGCTTGCTCCCTCCTCCCTATGACTTCCCTCACATATTTATACATGGCTATCATGTCTCCTCTCAGCATTCTCTTATGTAGGCCAAACATGGGCAGCTCTTTAAGCCGCTCCTCATAGGGCTTGATCATTTTAGTTGCCCTCCTCTGGACACATTCTAGCTTGTCAATATCTCTCTTCAATTGTGATGCCCAGAATAGGACACAATATTCCAGAATTGGACACAATATTCCAGAATTGGACACAATATTCCCTAACTGTTCTCTAAGAGCTCTGGGAGGCTTTTCTGTCATTTCCTGTTTTGAAAGTCACTTCTTGGTTGACTTCTAGTTTCCAAAATGCTTTCTCTTGGCCTAAAATGGCCTAAGGTTGGGCCCAAAACCTGGTGAGAATGCCCCCACGTCCCCTGTGCCCTTCTGCCCGGAAGGCACCCGCTCCCAGGCCACCCACCACTTCAGGCCGGTCGAACTTGGCGAGGCGGAAGATCTCAGGAGAGAGGCGGGCGGCGGGAAGGCTCAGGCCCAGCGCCGCGATGGCTGCCGGGAGGGACGCGGCTCCAGGCCCCAGCGCCACCATGGCCACGCTCCTCGCGCCTTTCATTCAAACCCCAACTGCAGCCCCGACTGCGCAGGCACGGGAGTGGGCGGCCGAGGGTGGTGACGTCACTAGCACCGCCCTCCTCTTCCTTTCAATCAGGGAAAGCGAGGCTGGTTGGCCCGCCTTCAGAAAGAGGTAAACAACATGGAATGTGGTGTGTGTGCTCTTTCTTGCTGAGATTGTTTTGCCTTTTTGGATCACTATTTGGGGAAGCAGCCCAGCCAAGCTCCAGTAGGAGTACTTTACTGTGGAGCTTGAGCATGTCTTTTAAAAATATTTTTCTTTCCTTTCTGAGATTTTTTTCAATGTCTAAGTTTTCCTTTGAATGTTTCACAATAGGCGCCAGGCTGAAGCTGGAAAGTTGGGTTTCAACCCGCCTGTTTTGCAGCCTTACTTATCACATAGCCCTGATGATACACACTATGACCCCATCTACACTGGCATATAATCTAGTTTGAAGCAGATGATCTGCATTTAGGAATCATATGGCAGTGTGGATCCAGCCTGAATCACCCCCACTCAAAGGCCTTTTCCACACAGCTGTATGAAAATCCACATTGAACTGGATTATATGGCAGTGTAGACTCAGATAATCCAGTTCAAAGCAGATAGTGTGGATTATCTTTGACCTATACATCCCTAAACGACTCCGGCCCAGTTTACCTGTCCGAACAGATTCTCCCCTATGAGCCATGGTGGTCCACGCTCTCGTTACATCCCGAATAGATTACTGAAACGCATTCTACGTGGGGTTGCCTTTGAAGACTGTTCGGAAACTTCAGTTAGTCCAGCAGGCAGCAGCCAGATTACTCACCAGAGCGTCATACAGAGAGCATACCACCCCTCTGCTATGTCAGCTCCACTGGCTGCCGATCCAGTTCCGAGCACAATTCAAAGTGCTGGTTTTGACCTACAAAACCCTATACGGCTCCGGTCCGGCATACCTGTCCGAACGCATCTCCCTCTACGTCCCACCTCGGAATCTGAGATCATCTGGGGAGGCCCTGCTCTCGACCCCACCTCTATCACAAGTGAGGCTGGTGGGGATGAGGAGCAGGGCCTTCTCGGTGGTGGCCCCTCACCTGTGGAATTCACTCCCGGGGGAGATCAGATCAGCAACATCCCTCCTCTCCTTTAGAAGAAATTAAAAATATGTTTATGGGACCAGGCCTTCGGGCAACCTGACAGCTAAGGACAATGGATGACTAGAATTAATAGGACTGATAATGTGGAATTGAAACTATGGACTATGAGACGGCGAACGCTGAATGCTAAACTGTTTTACTGATGTGTTGTAGAACTGAGAACCGACCGTTTAATTGTTTTTAACTGTTTAATTGCTGCTATACTGTTTTTATTGTTGTATTGTATTTTATTGTTGTATTGATGCCGGCATCGAATTGTGCCTTTGTAAGCCGCTCTGAGTCCCCCCCCCCCCCCCCCCCCCCCCCCCCCCCCCCCCCCCCCCCCCCCCCCCCCCCCCCCCCCCCCCCCCCCCCCCCCCCCCCACCCCCCCCCCCCCCCCCCCCCCCCCCCCCCCACAAAGACAGGGTAGAAGTGTCTGAAATAATAATAATAAATAACCATCAAGGTTATTAAGATCTTCTGGAGGGGCCCTGCTCTCTGTCCCACCACCCTCACAATTGCATCTGGTGGGGACGAGGGACAGGGCCTTCTCGGTGGTGGCCCCTCGGCTCTGGAACTCTCTCCCACTGGAGATTAGAACTGCCCCTTCTCTCCTGACTTTTAGAAAGCTGGTGAAAACTTGGCTCTGGAATTTAGCATTTGATGAGTGAGTCAATAACTCTTGACCACACGGACGGATGGTGATGAATTGTGATTTCATTCTGACGACTTGGCCTTATGTAATTATATGATTGTTTTAATGTATTTTATGTATTACTGTATTATGGGATGCAATGTTTTAAACTATTGTTTATGAATCTTTGTTGTAAACTGGCCTGAGTCCCTCTCAGGAGGTCGAGAAGAACGGTATATAAAAGTTCTAAATAAATAAATATATATATATATGGCAGCGCAGAAGGGGCCTCAGACTAGGACGCGGAACAGTGGCTTCAAACTACAAGAAAGGAGATTCCATGTGAACATTAGGAAAAACTTCCTGACTGCGAGAGCTGCTCAGCAGTGGAACTCTCTGCCCTGGAGTGTGGTGGAGGCTCCTTCTTTGGAAGCTTTTCAACAGAGGCTGGATGGCCATCTGTTGGGGGTGCTTTGAATGGATTTTCCTGCTTCTTGGCAGGGGGTTGGACTGGATGGCCCATGAAGTTTCTTCCAACTTTATGATTCTAACCTCCAAATAATATTTATTTCTAAAAATGCCATTCAGTTATATGTCAAAGCCTCAGGTTGCATTGACTAGTCTCAACTGCAGAAAGCATGTGCATTGCTTCCATTTTCCAGGCACTTGTCCTGTTCAGGTGTGTTTCTGATGACACATGTAAGGTTGCATTAAATGTATTATCAGTACACAAATAGAAGACCGCTTTATTGAAAAGGAATGCCATTCCAATTCAGTTGAATTCATTTAAAATCCCAGTTGTTTTTGGAATATATATATATATATATATATATATATATATATAATTCTGCTCCTTATGAAGGAATTAGCTCAGAGGTCCTCAAACTTTTTAAACAGAGGGCCAGGTCACAGTCCCTCAAAGTGTTGGAGGGTTGGATTATAATTTGAAAAAAAGAATTATTATGCACACTGCACATATCTTATTTGTAGTGCAAAAAACACTTAAAAACAATACAATAATTAAAATAAAGAACATTTTAACAAATATAAACTTATTAGTATTTCAATGGGAAGTGTGGGCCTGCTTTTGGCTGATGAGATAGGATTGTTGTTGTTGTGTGCTTTCAAGTCATTTCAGACTTAGGTTGACCCTGAGCGAGGGCCGGGTAAATGACCTTGGAGGGCCATATCCGGCCCTTGGGCTGTAGTTTGAGGACCCCTGAATTAGCTATTTCCAAATGTGTTGAATATTTTAATTAATACATGTAAGTCAAGAACTTAGGTTTCTTACATATCTTTGTCCATTAAATATCACCACCTCAACAAGATCATATGGGCAAAACGTACTGAGACAAACTTGTTGAGAATAGAGTTGGAAGAGACTGCATGGGCCATCTAGTCTAACCCCATTCTGCCATGCAGGAAAAGCACAATCAGAGCACTCCTGAAAGATGGCCATTCAGCCTCTGTTTCAAAGCCTCCACCACACTCTGAGGGAGACTTTCACTGCTGAACAGCTTTTACAATCAGGAAGTCCTTCCTAATGTTTAGGTGGAATCTCCTTTCCTGTCATTTGAACTCATTGCTCCATTGAGTCCTAATCTCCAGGGCAGCAGAAAACAAGCCTGCTCCCTCTTCATTATGATATCCTTTCAAATATTTAAACATGGCTCTCCTGTCCCCTCTGAACCTTCTCTGCTGCAGACTAAACATGCCAAGCTATTTAAGCTGCTCTTCAGAGGACAAGACATATTACTGCTGTTTATTAAAAGATCCCTTATGCACACATATATCACAGAATGTCCATATGATTATCTAAGCCTCGAGAGAACACTCAGGATGAAGTGATTACTTTGTGTCTATCCTTGTATTTTCTACCCTTGCTGTAACCAGTGGTCTACTATTCCATGACAAGTGTGGTGGTCTCCAGCCTTGCAATTGGTTTCAGAGCCAAAGAGGGCAGATGTATCATCTTACAGAAAATGCTAAGGAGCATTTTCTCTATACCAGTCAGAGGGTTGATAATACCAAATCCAGCTCTGGTTTGCCATCAAAAGGTGCTAAGCCGTTAACTCAGTAACTGCAAACCAGCAAAGTCCAAACAGGAATTATAATGGAGTCTTGCATTAACCCAACACCAGGAATCCCTGTTCTCCTAATCCAGGCATGGGCAAACTTCAATCCTCCAGCTGTTTTGGACTTCAACTTTCCCAATTCCTAATAGTCGGTAAGCTGACTTGGATTTCTGGGAGCTAGAAGTCCAAAAGACCTGGAGCATTTCACTGGAATGTGAAAAGCTAATGGGGGAGAAAGATGTCAAGCTACATTAAAATGCCACAGATTCTTCTTCACCTTTCAGGCTCTGTTACACAAAACCGAAAATTGGCTTTTGATATGCCTCAAGATACATCTCAGAATGCCATGGTTCTTGCTAAGCAGTAGCTACAAGGTAAGAGAGGAGTTGAGGTACTAATGGTGCCTGCCACAAAGCATTTGTAGTCTCATGAATAAGAAAACCAATAAACCATCAAGTTTTATCAACTTCTTGGGCAGGAAGAAGTCATGCAATTATATACCAAGTTTTCAATGTCAGTTTATTTTTAAAATAAAAATTGTATTATGGAAAGATTTAGACTTCTCAGCAGCCAAAGAGGACGTGATCTTTATTCTCTGCAGTTCCAACCAAGAAGCTGGGAGGCTGTGCAAACAGCGGTTCCTGCCAAACCAAGGAGCGCAAATGAACCAAGAGCACCCCGGTTTCGTTTCTTGGGATCTGTAAGGCAAAGATAGAATAGTCATATCACTTTTTATTACAAAGTTATATTTCTTTGTTGCAAAGAATCTCTCTTGGTTGTCCAGGATAGGAAAGGGTTAAGGGAGAGGCAGTTGACTGGGTCATGCAAACCCCACATCAGTTGAGAGAGTAAGAAAAACTGGGATGTCTATGGTAGAGGAAACACATAAATCTAGGATAAAATTGTCCCATATAAAAACCTTCACTTGGGTGGTGGGCAGTATGGTGTTTGTGGAGGACATCGGCATGTTCATGGCGTTTACTATAACCTGCAATGCCATTGGAGGGAGGGTGTAATGAACTCATAGGCCGCAGCCTGGAAGTCAGTGAGCTGGCCTCCATGTTGGGAAGGCAGCTCAGGATGGCAGACATGATGGTATAGGCAGAGAGGCAAGGGGAGGAGTCAGCTAACTCCTGATTGGTTCAGACCCCAAGGGGAGGAGTTGAAGGAGAGTGTAAATAGGCTGTCATTTCTGACAGAAGGGAGAGAGAAGGATTTGATCTAGCAGAGAAAAGATTAGGATTTCAGACAGGGAGAAGAGAGTTTCTTAGTGAGCTAGGAATTAGCCTGTTAGGGAATAATTAAAGAGCAAGTGCTTCTGTATAGTTTGACTAGGGCAGTCAAAGTGAAGGCTTGTTTACTTGTATTAGGACAGAATACAAGTGGGTTTATTTCCCTAAAGGTCAGAGTAGTCCAGGGGAAACCTAGATACTCTGGAAGGCAGCCAGGGGCGGCTGGTCAAAGAAACGCACTGTTACATATTACAGGATAGTGTGAGGAAAGTAGCTCATGTTAAGGAAAAGTTACTCCTTCTAAAGAAACCATTTGCTTAATAAGTCTGTGCTTCAGAAACAAATTACGTGTATGTACCTCTCAGTAGTCAGTTGTTTGCTTCAAATATTTCAATAAACCTGTTCTCTAGTTTACTGTTAATCTGCCTCAGCCTTGTTTCATCATATAAGGTTAGATCCAGTAAGCCTCCACATCTCTACAGTTCAGTCACCAGAAAGGGAGCCAAAAGGAAGAGCCGGTGTATAGGGACATTTTACCTCAAGTACAACAACAAGACAATTCCTCAAACTGTAATTTGGGGTGGTGGCAGCAAACCTACCATTACACACACATCGTTCTCTCTCATCACCTGTAATTTCCTCCTTCATCTTGTTACAGAGGGCCATTGGTGTCTCCTGAGGGGTGGGAGCTATAGCTGTTTGTGGAGGCAGGTGCTTATCTGTGTAAGTGGACCCACAGCTACACACACATACATACATATTTTCACTTTTATTATATGTATAGATTATTATTATTAGTTGTAGTATAGCTGATAGAGGAATACTCATGCAATTTTAGGGATCAGCAAATCAAATATACCCAGAAACAGATCTAACATTTGTGGCACCAAAATGTGTGTTGCCAAGAGAAATCAGATAAACCTCACTTAATATAGATATAGTTTGCTATTTTTAAAAAATGGGGGGGGGGGAGAGAAGACAATCTTAATAGGATACTCTAAATACGATACTTTAGCGACTTCACACAGTATATAAATGAGGAATTGGATGCACAGTTTATAGAAAAACCAACTTCTATCTAATGAATCATTAAGGTGGACCAAACTTGCGTCAAATGCAGTTCATAGTCTAGACTCTCACCCCCTGTGTAGTAGCCATAGGCATAGAGCAGTCTTCCAATAATCCATGCCACACCAAGTCCTGTAGCAGCACGCTGGAAAAAAAACAAACAGTTGGTATACATGTATTGTCGAAGGCTTTCATGGCTGGAATCACTAGGTTCTTGTGGGTTTTTTCGGGCTATAGAGCCATGTTCTAGAGGCATTTCTCCTGACGTTTCGCCTGCATCTATGGCAAGCATCCTCAGAGGTACCTCTGAGGATGCTTGCCATAGATGCAGGCGAAACGTCAGGAGAAATGCCTCTAGAACATGCCCCTATAGCCTGAAAAAACCCACAAGAACTTAAACAAAGAAGACAAAAAAAGAAAAAAAAAAAAAACCCACAAGAACCTAGTTGGTATACACTTGGGAGTTTCACAAATAATTAGATGTCCAGTGGAGGAGAGAGGAACCAGCAAATTATAATTCTTCAAGTATTAATGCAGGGGTTTTTCAAAGACATGAACCTTTTCCCATGATCGCTCTGGTTTCTATATGAGAAAAGCAATGGGGAGCGGATGGATGTCCAAGCATTTCCTTACTCAAGAAGCTAATGCCTGAATATAACACTCATGACACTGAATCAAATGAAGTTTGAACAAGATTTTCCATTTGACATTGGGGCACAAATCTCTCTTTATGTACAGAGGCACATAACAATGAACACAGAATATAATCTAGACTCCCCATAGGCCATGGATTATAATGAAACCTGTATCATTTTATATAAATTTGTACTTGAAAATTGAACTTCTCTTAACTCTTGACATTTCTTTTATAGGAGAAGGGAGTAAAAGAAGAAAGGAGAAATACTCAAAAATAGACTTTAGTTTTGGAAAAAATGATGAATGTTACTTCACTACTCCCAATATTTTCAAAAATATTTTTTAAATTTCATGAGAAGGGTGGGGTATAAGTATAGGAAATAAATAAATAAATAAATAAATAAATGTCATTTTTATATGAATCTGTTACTTGGTATTTTCAATAATTTTAAATGATATTGAAAATGTAGCATTTTAATGCTAAATTTGATGTTTTAAAAACTAAATTATATTAATATTTTATTAATGTACTGAATTAATTTGAAAGTTCTTCAAACTATTGCTCATATTTCAAAACGATGGTCATAGCATAGAATCTATTGTGAAAGCACTCTATCTATTGTATTAGTTGCTACTTGTGCTATAAAAACAAAGTAAGTGGTGGAAGGAAAGCTAGTGTGAACATTGGATTATGACATTTGAGACCAGGGTTTGACTCCCTACATAGCATAGAAACCCACGGGCAACCTTGCCCAAGTCATGCTCTCTCAGACTCGGAGGAAGCAAAGAAGTCACCCTATGAACAAATCTAACCAAGAAAACTCCATGATAGCTTTGTTTTAGGGTCAGCATAATTCAGAAATATCTGAAAGCATACATTTTGTTGAGGAGTGGTATCCAGTCATATGGAGGAAGTGTGAGGAAGCAGAGAATGAAATACTTCAAGCTTTGCAACCATACCCTGGTTTTGAAAGAGAGCACTCACTAGCTGCTCAAACAAAATACTCTGACAGTTCTTGAGCAAGTTGTGGATTAAAAAAAATTGCTTACTTACCGGATGGGAGAGCCCACCAATTCCAAGGAAGAACAAGAAGGGAGAATACACTTCTAGCCTGAAAATACAAACAGAAATTATTGGAGACTTGTTCTCATTAATGATCTGTAGATGTGGATCACTCCTACCAACGGATATGGGTCTGAATGTAATTCTGAACCAAATGATAAAGGTCTAAACATAGTTCTGAACCATAGCATACCTCAAAGAAGCAAGAGTATCCATCTGCCCATGAATAGTTTTTGGCATGCTTGCAATGATCCTATTCTTTTAAGGGCAAAACAAGCAGGGATTAGGGGTGCAGAACCCTCCACCAAAATGGGAAAACTGCACATATAGGCCTGTTGTTTTTTTACATTCGAGAACACTTCTTTAGGCATTTCCAGATTCTACAATAGAAGTTGACCATATGCTGAGAGAGAACAACTTTTTTTCAGTCACAAGTCGGGCAGCAGCAGAGATCGCAGCAAATATAGACATCCACAAATAATCAAATTTGAGAATGCGTAACCCACAAATGTAGATGATGGATTGTAATAATAATAATAATTTATTTATTTTTGTCGTGTCAGGAGCGACTCGTTTCTGGTGTGAGAGAATTAGCCGTCTGCAAGGATGTTGCCCAGGGGACGCCTGGATGATTTTGATGTTTTTATCATCCTTGTGGGAGGCTTCTCTCATGTCCCCGCATGAGGAGCTGGAGCTGATAGAGGGAGCTCATCCGCCTCTCCCCGGATTCGAACCTGACCCGTCGGTTTAACCCACTGCGCCACCGGGGGCTCAATAATAATAATAATAATAATAATAATAATAATAATAATAATAATAATAATCTTTATTTGTACCCTGCCACCATCTCCCCAATGGGAACTCGGGGGCTTACATGAGGCCAAGCCCAACAACGCAATACAATAAATGAAATCAAAACATAAACAACAACATAATAAATTACATAAAACATAAACTATAAGAATACAGCAAACAATGTAAAATTACAATAAAATCATTCATAACACAGTGAGCGGGCCGCATGTACAGGGCTTTTTCTATTTCTGCCCCTGCCTTATGGAATTCCTTGCCACCCTATATGAGAGCCATGCGTGACTTAGGACCTTTTACTCTAGCACTTAAGACCTGGCTTTTTACTAGAGCATTCGATCTCTGTTAATTTTTAATTTCTATATGTATGTATTTTATCTTTTACAATTTAGCTGTAAATCGCCTAGAGCATTCTTGGATGGAGGGCGATTAATAAGTAATTAAATATGATGATGATGATGAGAATAAAATACTAAAGGTAAAAACGGGGTGAGACGGCAGTGGAGCGGATTATTTGTTAGGGAGGAACTCTTCCGAAATGGGGTCAAAAAGGACCATCAAGGTGCTACAAAAACTTAAGAGGACCTCTGGTAAAGCACTACAGATTGGTACCTATGTTCTTCACAATGCCCTCTTGTAGCATCATAACCTCCCTATGGGAGCAACATTCTAGCTATCATAAACAAATTATTGGGTGTAAGGAGGAATATCACATGACATATGGGGAAAAGAAAAGAAAAACCAATGGAGAGGTACAAAACCAATATGCAAGGAATCCTGTATTGAGAGAAAACCAGCATATAAATAAATTGAATACAGGCAGCCCCCAAATTACGAGCAATATAGGTTCTTTAGGTTTGTTCTTAAGTTGAATTTGTATGTATGTCAGAACAGCTACATTTTTAAAGTGTAACTTCAACCATCCATATATATTAGTTAGTTAGTTAGTTAGTTAGTTAGATAGCACAGGGAAGGATTAACAGCTGTACTATTTATTTTGCTGCCTGTGTCCCTGTTCAGAAGATTTCCCCTAATTTTCTGTCCCTGTGGTAATTTTGAAAAAATTGGCTTGCTATGGAAGCCAGGATTGGTGACAAAACTTCAGTGGAGACACTTTTTCCCCATGATAACTCTTTCAAGAGTGCCTTGGGTTAGATTTCTCTCACTTCCTGTTGTCTCGCCCCCGTTCTTAACTATGAGTCATCTATATGAAAGGACTATCATGCTTGCTTATGAGTTCAGCACTCTTCAGTCTTCAAAGCTGAACATTTCCAAAGGACTGTAGTTCTTACTGACTTTTACATGAGCTCTACTCTTCAAAACACAGTTTGCAGTGATTTAGGTTTCTACCATGCAGGATAAAAGTCTAACTGATGCATTCAAGTGTTGGCATGTGTTTTATCCTTTTCAGAATAAAAAGTGGTATATCTGGCATGCTTATACATTTGACACATCCAACTGACACAAGGCCAGTTCTCTCATTAGTAATTGCCCCAAGCTGTGGTGTGATGGACAGTTTAGATTTGCTACTCCACACCCGATCTTGACAGACTGGAGAAATGCCATGGACCCATCTAGCTGTCCAGAACAGGGAATTCTCTGCCTCAGGGTACTACAGTACTTCACCAAAAAGTAATAAGGAAAGAGTAATAGTAGCAGAACTTATTTTGCAAGCCATCTGATTTCTGCCAGATTTTTAAAGGAATCTTGAAGTTCAGAGGGGTCACAATGGCAAATTTAGCTAATTCCATGCCATCTAAAAATACACAATTATAGTCACTCCTAAAAGATGTGCATTCAACCTCTTTTTAAAAAGATTTTCAAAGAAAGGGGATCCACCACCTTTCCAAGACAGCCAATTTCATTGCCAATTAACTCTTATAGTAAAGACATTCTTCCTGTGTTTAGGTGGAATCTCTTTTCATGTAATTTTAACCCATTGGTTCATCTTTTAGTTTCTAAAGCAGCACAGAACAGGCTCATATTGTGTTCTACATGACATCCCTTCAGATAAAGATAGCAGTCATACTTTTTTTTTTAGTCTTTTCTTCTTCAAGTTAAACATACCCAAGTACCCACGTCACTCCCTAAAAGGTTTGGTTTCCAGACCTCTGATCACCTTAGTTGTCCATATCTGAACACATTCCATCTTACTGATATCCTTCTTGAACTATGGTATTCAGAACTAGATACACTTTTTTTACAGAAGGGGGAGATGCAGAAGTAGTGCTCAGCTGCTGAATAATAATAATAATAATAATAATAATAATAATAATAATAATAATAACAATAACAATAATAATAGTTACAGAGAATTAACACGCCAAACTCCTCTGGGACTTCCGGATTCAGACAGACAGAGTTTTGGAGCATAATACTCCTGATCTCACAATCGTGTTAAAAAACAAAGTATGGATCGTCGATGTCACAATCCCAGGTGACAGCAGGATTGAAGAGAAAGAACTGAAAAAGCTGACACTATATGAGGATTTAAAAATCAAACTGCAAAGACTCTGGCACAAACCAGTAAAGGTGGTCCCAGTAGTGATCAGCACAGTGGGTGCAGTGCCTAAAGACCTTGGCCTGCACTTAACACAACTGGCGCTGACAAAATTACCACCTGTCAGCTGCAGAAGGCCACCTTACTGGGATCTGCACGCATTATTCACTGATACATCACACAGTCCTAGACACTTGGGAAGTGTCCGACGTGTGATCCAATTCAACAGCCAGTAGAGTGTCTGCTGTGGACTCATCATGTTGTGTTTCAAATAATAATAATAATACAGCTGAGGCTGATTCCCTTCTCATCCACTGGTCTAACAACCTCCCATCCATCAAGAGAGAAGAATGATGAGGACGATAACAGTGTGGCACCCTTTTCTTACTCTAGATTGAGGACACAAACACAAACAGCCAAAGAGACAGTGCCACTACTACATGAGCAGCCATCTCTGTGCAGACCATTGCTTCTTGGGGTAAGAAAAATGGGCGGCTTGGAAAATACAGTGTATATTCCAGATCATCTCCAACCTAGCCACAGACTCTGGTACTGAAGGCCTTGCTATATAGACACAGCTACTGATGGCAGTGTAGGTTGTCCTTGTTTGTACTTTCACATTCTTGTCCTCGCAGCAGAAACCCCTTTCTTTCTGGATGGGCCGTGGGGTTGTCTCGGTAGGGAGCTAGCAGACAGGCAAGCTCACTGCGTTTAGTCAATGGGCAAGCTTGGATGAACCCTGAGTTGAGAAACTAAGAATAAATGCATCAGAGACTACTCACGTGTTCTGGTGTGCCCTCTGGATACAGTTAAAGAGGTGACCATTTTCAGGGTCTGTACTATACATGTTTGGGTACTGTTGAGGAGAAAAAAAACACAAATTAATACATGTTCCCACTCCATCAACCAGTATGTGTGGTAGAATTTAGAGACTGAAGAATACTTTAATGTAGACACACAAAGAAATTAATTACTGGGTTGTTGTAGGTTTTTCAGGCTATATGGCCATGCTCTAGAAGCATTCTCTCCTGATGTTTTGCCTGCATCTATGGCAAGCATCCTCAGAGGTTGTGAGGATGCAGGCGAAACGTCAGGAGAGAATGTTTCTAGAACATGGCCATATAGCCCGAAAAACCTACAACAACCCAGTGATTCCAGCCATAAATTAATTACTGCTACCATGAATACCCTACAGTATTTTTACTGCCAAGTTAATGTTTTATGCTTGCCAGTGTATGTCAGCGTGCTGGAAGAAGCAAAGACCACCAGCATTGAAGCGATGGTCCATCAACTCCTCCATCAACTCCGCTGGACCAGCCACGTTGTCCGGATGCCCACCACTGTCTCCCAAAGCAGTTGCTCTACTCCGAACTCAAGAACGGAAAACAGAATGTCAGTGGACAGGAAAAGAGATTTAAAGATGGGCTCAAAGCCAACCTTAAAAACTCTGGCATAGACACTGAGAACTGAGAAGCCCTGGCCTTTGAGCGCTCCAGCTGGAGGTCAGCTGTGACCAGCTGTGCTGTAGAATTTGAAGAGGCACGAATGGAGGGTGGAAGGGAGAAATGTGCCAAGAGGAAGGCACATCAAGCCAACCCCGACCGAGACCGCCTTCCACCTGGAAACCAATGCCCTCACTGCGGGAGAAGATGCAGATCCAGAATAGGGCTCCACAGTCACCTACGGACCCACAAGAATACTGATTATGGAAGACTATCCTTCTCGGCCAACGAGGGATTGCCTACGTAAGTAAGTAAACATGTGTTTGCTATATTACTTGTGTTATTTGGTTAGCATTTCAATCAACATGCACCATGAAGGGCTTTCTTCTTGGAGATTTCTCATCGCATGCAAGCTCTTACATCCAGAGGTTTTGGGAGAAGTCTGGCTTACTTGGAGATTGTGGCATTTAGTTAGACAAGCCAGATTTGTTCTTTGAATTATGTCAGAGCCGTCATCCTCTATCAAGCATATGTGAAACAGCTTGCTTTAAGAATTCACAATATGAGATTGCAACTCAGCTGAAACCATTCTTCAGCCAAGACCAGTATATCACAGCCCTGGAAAGAGGACCAAATGACGTGACCACCAAGATACCTCTCGACTCAAAAATTCTATTATCATAGTTCATATGCCCTGACATAAAGGAGCGAACCACATAGGCAAACCACATTCGGACCACATGTTCTTACATTGCCACGAACTATTTTGGTCTGCTATACAAAACAGTCTGCATCTGGCTTATCCCCAGACAGTACTTTTATGCTTCCCCCTCAAATCCCAAATGTTTACCAGCTGCAAATTGGCCAAGGTCTATGGAAAGAACTTCCCCTGGGCCAATTCCTCTAAAGACATGTTCCTCTTTCCCTCCTTTTTATCCTCTTCAGTTGCTGCATCTAATTTAAAGTATAAAGATATGGGCCAAAGCAGCAGAAGAGGGAAGCATTCCTTTCCCAAAGTGCTGCAGTCAAAGTGCTTATCCCTGGATATGGTGCATGGAGTAGCATGCACTCAAATAAACATTTTAAATACAAACTTGGTTAATTCAAATGACTCAAGCAAGCGAAGTTTTATGCCACCAGGAATGAGGTGGAATCTCTGCTTATCTCGTACTTGTCTAGAAAGTATTTTCCAACTGTAATGAAACAAAATGCTCACAAGATGCTCTTACTATGAATTAATCAAAACAATTAATGAAAAAGCACAATGACAAGAAGGCACAGAAAAGGTTAATGCTACTGCTATTGTTGCAGTAGAGTGTGTTGAGCAAGCTACAACTGGTAGTAGGAGGGGAAAGAGGGCTGCTCAGGTGTTGGATCAAGAGCAGCAAAGGAAGCGAATTAGGGAGATATTAATGGCACCTACAGATTCTGAATCATTTGAAGGTTTCTCAGATTCTGAAATGGAGGAGGAGGGAGATGGGGGCAGAGGCTTGAAACGGGCTACTCGGGAGCAAGAGTCAGATGAGGAACGTGAAAGGAAACGTATCCGGGAAATACTTAATGCTCCAACTGAGGAGGAAGACTTCATGGGGTTCACAGGGAGTGATGGGACTGGGAGTGATGACGGGGAGGAGGATGGGTTAGATTGGACCCGTGTACAAGAGATCAGGGACATATGTACCCAACCCACATCAAGTGAGGACTTTGAAGGGTTTTCGGGAGACTGGCAACCTGGAAATACATGGGGTGATCTAAGTCTTGATAGACGCTGGAAAAGTTGGAGGGACGGGCGGTGGCGAGCAGCTGTGGAAGCAAAGGCACCTGAGAGTGATGAAGACAGGGTGGAGTCCAGCTCCACCTCTGATGAGGAGTTATAGGATAAAAGTAAGGTATCAAACTATTGGAACTTTGCAGTAGGCAAAGTGTTGTATTGGGCTTGGGACTTTGTTGCTGCCATTACTCTTGCCTTGGTCCTGGGACTGCAGATCTCTGTGTTTCCGTGCTTCTACCGTCTGGAATCTTGTAAGTGCTGACTGCTATCTTCCTGCTGACTTCGGATTGTTTTTGGGACGACGACTTCGTGCTTTGGACTGCTACAGCTTCTTCTGGACGTGCCTTGACCTTGGACTGTTTCTAGACTACGTTTTTGCTTGCTCCTACCTTGTTTATTGATGTTTATTGGACTCTGTGTTTTTGAAGCAGTTTGCTGATACTTTTTGTTATCCCAGATTATATTCCAGTATAATCCAGATTATATTCCAAGTTGTGTTTTTTGCTTGGCTTTTTGCTACAGACTTTCAGTTTTTGCTAGTAACACTGAGTTAAGTGTTTCTAAGCTATTTTTGTTACTTTAATAAACTTTGTTGGGCCTTTACCCTTGTGTTTGGCTCTGTTAAGGCTTCTGGTTCACAACAGTTAGAGTAACGACTCTTATTCCCTTCAGAGACGCCGCAAGCTGAGCCTAGAGAAAATACTTGCAAGGCCAGTTCCTAGGGTATTTATTTGTTCACTGCCTCCTCAAATGGGCTTTATGGCAGTGCTTTTGTCCTCTTGCTTTGTGTTGCAGTTAGCTTCTTTCAGCAATACAAAAGTAGCCACTCTTCCAGCTCCATCTGTTAGCAGTTAAGGCCCTGAGTCAGACTTCTGACTCACCAAAGTGAGCAGTTACACCCTTTGGCTCTCTTCCCAACTATCAAAGCTTTCCAAAAGAGTTTAAACCATTTTACACTTTGAAAGTTGTCTTCCTTTGAGATTTTCCTGCAAGATTTTATGAGTGAAAGTTTTATATCTTACTTTGGCAACAAGGAAAGGTGAGCGGAAGAATCTTAAAATACTCACCAGAACAGTGAATTGTATTACTTTCCAAAACTACTGTAAGGAGTCCATCAAGTTCTAATTCTCAAGCACAGGGGAAACATAGGCATTGAGGGCTAAAAAAGGCTTTTTTTTTTTCAACCCACTCTCGGAGTATCCAAAAGGGTGTATCTAATCTAGTCCACAGATTATCTGGGACACTACCTTGTTCCTTACAATTACTGCTGGACTCTCTTTGTTGATAGGGAGGTTGCCCTTCCGTGCTTTGGAAGGTAATGAAAAATAATGACATTAAATAATGACATTCCTTTTGCAAACATAATAATAGCATCATCAGTAATATCATCATCACACAGTCCTAGACGCTTGGGAAGTGCTCGACTTGTGAATTTTTGGTATGAAATCCAGCATATAGATCTCGTTTGCTGTGACATACTGTGCTTTTGTGTCAGTAAAATAATAATAATAATAATAATAATAATAATAATAATAAATAATAATGAACTGCAAAGGCTCTGGCATAAACCAGTACAGGTGGTCCCAGTGGTCATTGGCACATTGGGTGCCATGCCAAAAGATCTCAGCTGGCATTTGGAAACAATAAACATCGACAAAATCACTATCTGTCAACTGCAAAAGAGAGTGTGGACAGCCACCCTCAATTATTGGCTGCATCTGTCTTTCTCAACATGTGGCCTTGCTCCATTAACTCTGAGAGATGAATTTCAGTCTACATGGAATAAGGCAGTGGCAATCAAAATCGCAACTCTAGGCTTCTCTCAAGGACAACTGCTAGGTATGGGATGGGACCAAGCCAAGGCTCTTATTAGACAACGGATCCTGGATATAGAGCGACAATCAGACTTAGCCTGCTCTCCAGCATTCACCATTAGCGAAGATAACAGATATCTCATCGCTCCCATGGCTTACTTAGCAAACCTGGAGGTGCCTAAACACCGAAGAGCTTTCACTTTGGCAAGATGCCATGCCCTTCCATCGGCAGTACTGGAGGGGAGGTACCGGAAGACCCCTGCCCAGGAGAGACTTTGCCCGTGTGAGTCTGGCTACATTGAAACAACTGAACATGTGCTCCTCCAATGTGTATTCTATAGAGACATTAGAGCTAATTTCATCACTCCATGGCTTTTAAAACATCCAGGGCGCACTGAAAGATATTACACCTCCCTGTTGCTCTCGGACTCTTGCTCTGCGACAACCTACAGTGTTGCCAAGTTCTGTGCAGCAGCAATTAACATTAGACGGCTGATGACCGACTCCACCAGGCAACTTCCTGCCAGGAATATAGTTAGAATGATTTGTAATAACTGAAATGCTATAAATGCTCCCCTCTCATCCCTTTTTAGAGCTTCCCAGTTGTCTGATATTTGTTATTAGCCGCCCCCCTATTTTAGATTCATACATGCACTTTAAACTGTAAGTTTAGTGTGTTTTATCTTTTTAATTTGTCTCTTCTATAACATGTTTTTAATCTGCTTTTATACCTGAACCTTACTTGGGAACTGCGATTCCCTTCCTTGGGCACCGGTGCCCCATTCTATATTGTGCTGGTCAAAGACCGTAATAAATCATTGATTGATTGATTGATTCAACTGCAAAAGGCCACCTTACTTGGATCTGCGCACATCATTCGAAAACATATCACACTGTCCTAGACGCTTGGGAAGTGCTTGACTTGTTCGACTTGTGATTTTGTGATATGAAATCCAGCATATAGATAATGTTTGCTGTGACATACTGTGCTTTTGTGCCAGTAAAATAATAATAATAATAATAATAATAATAATAATAATAATAATAGACAATGTTACCTTTTCACATGTGATTAGAAGTGTCTATTCACTACTGGTAGGAAAGTAATGCTTTGAAAAGAATTCTGAGGGGATTCATTTTCAAACTGCAAGCTATTTTTAAAAGAGTTTTTAAGGAACTTAAAGGAGCTGAGAAACATGAAGAATGAAATTTCTCTCCATGCACAATGTTAAAAATATGTTTTCCTTCTTTTAAGCTTTATAATCAGTTCAATAAGTTGTGATGATGATGATGATTAACTTTATTTGTACCCCGCTAACATCTCCCGAAGGACTCGGTGCGGCTTACAAAGGCCAAGGCCCTCAATAAAACAACAGCATAACAAATACAACAATAAAACTCATAAAGCAAACCAATAAACATTAAAGCAATAACAGTAAAACATCAAAACAATACATCATGACACATTAAAACTAGGGCCAGGTCAAATGTAATGAATAAATTAAAAGTGCTGGACATGACAGGTGAAATGTAGGTTTAATGAGTTACAATAATTAGTCAATGACTAGTTTCATTTAAACTAAATTCTATTTTCCCAAGTTCTGTGTTCTACCTGTTATATGGATTCATCTTGCAGCCACCTGGAAAACAATTGTTTCATGTAGCACCCCTTGTCCTCCAGAATATCCCAGTCTTAGAATCAAGGCCCACACCAATAATTACAAAATTTAGACATAGGCTAAAAATATTCTATATCCAAGGTTTTGAACATTCGCTTTGTTGACTGAGGTTTAACTTTGCATGCTTTTCTCCCAAATGATCATTGCAAGATAGATTATTCATTATGATAGGCAGCCTAGGTGTCAAGTTAGACTTTACTGGCTGTGAGGAATTGTAGGAGTTGAAGTCCAAAACACCTGGAGGGACGAAGTTTTCCCATGCCTGCTTTAGACAGAAGATTCAGAAGACAGAAGATTCAGAATGACAATGTTATTATATAGTGGTGACAGCTAAATTGACCACAATAGATGGCGGAGAGAGGAGGCAACAGTGACTGACTTGATAGTACTGGTGAGAGGATCGAAATGTACAGAAAATGATTGCAATCTTGAGGTTATTTGCATAGGTGGCATGGGATGGGGGGTCTAGAAAGAGGAATCAGCTGAGTGGGAGAGAGAATAAGAACTCTGCATGTATTCAGATATGGGGCCTAAATAGAAAAACTTTTTATGACAAAAAAGGAACAAAGTAGCATATGTCCCAAAATAAAAAAAAAACAACTATGTATATCATGTATAAAGGCAATAAAAATGGGATGATGAAGTTAGTGGGAAAAGTGCTGGACTTGGATTTAGGAGATCCAGGTTCAGGTCCCCATGAGAAATGTAGCTCAGCAAGTGATCTAGGGACAATGACACTCTCCCAAGCCATTTTACAGGATTGTTGTGACAATAAAGTAGGGAGGAGCCATATATGCTGACTTTAGCTCACTAGAGGAAAAATAGGATACACTGTAAATAATGCAAATATAAAAATATATCCCTATTTGTTAAATATCAGAACAGTTACTCTTTCTTCCTTATTGTGATTCCCAGCAGAATAAAAGTCGATATGATAAATTATCTGACACAATTCTATGTGAATTTGTATGTTAAATTCCATAAAAATTTGGTAAGAACATTGATTTTACTCAGCTTTTATTTCTGACCTTACTGCCATCAACAAAACTCAAAAACTTAATATGGACATGCCAATAGTTTTACCTACCCATGCCCCCACCCAGACCCTACTTTAAGGAATTAATCAATTTTTAATCTTTTGATCTTTTGATTTTTTGATCTTGTAGTTGCTCAATTATTTAGGAGTGGGTCGACAGGCCAGTAGGCCATGATGCCTTGTATTCATATATGGTTTTACTGTATGTGTATGTTTTGTATGTTTTGCATATTTTGATATGGTCAAAATTGACTAATCAATAAAGAATTGTATAACTAGCTGTACCTGCCATGCGTTGCTGTGGTGAACCTTCTCTCCCTCTTTCTCTCCTTTCCCTCCTTCCTTCTCTACCTCTTTCCTTCCTTCCTTCGTTTTACCTCTTTCCTTCTCTCCTTCCTTCTCCACCTCTTTCCTTCCTTCCCCCCTTTTATCTTCTTTCTCTCCTTTCTTCTTTCTCTACCTCTTTCCTTCCTTCCCCCTTTTTCTTTATCTTTTTTCTCTCCTTTCTTCCTTCTCTACCTCCTTCCTTCCTTCCTTCCTTCCTTCGCTTTTTGCTTCCATCCTTCCTTCTCTCTTCCCTCCCCTCCCTCTTTCCCTCCTTCCTCGCTCCCTCTTTCCTTCCCTCCCTTTTTTCTTTCATTCTCTCCTTCATTCTCTCCCTCTTTCTTTCCTTCCCTTTTTCTTTTCCTTCCTCTTTCTTTCCTTTCTTCCATCTCTACCTCTTTCCTTTCTTCCTTCCTTCACTCTTTTCTTCCATGCTTCTTTCTTTCCTTCTTTCTCTCTCTCTCCCTCCTTCCTTCCTTCCCTTCCTCCCTCCATTCCTCCCTCTTCCTTCCCTTTTTTCTGTATCGTCATTTAGCTTTTCATCATTGAGCTTTTTGGGGTTTTTAAGTCCTTTCCGCTGCTTTGTTGGGGGGAGGGGGTTATGAGTGATGGTCACTTGTTGACTGAGGCGTATTGTGTCCAAATTTCGTGTCAATTCATCCAATGGTTTTTGAGTTATGTTAATCCCACAAACTAACATTACTTTTTTATTTATATAGAAGATATCCACTGAGACAGCCACCCTTTCAGGCTCACCTCCACTTTGAACTTCTTCCGTGCTTTTCCAACATTTATTGCAAGATGCATTACCACAACGAAACTGGCAGCACCAGTGAGAATCACGTAACCGTATTCTTTAGAGAGAACCACCATCTTGGCACTGCGAAGAGAATGAAATTAGAGGTCAGTCCTTGCTCAAGAATACCAGTCACCTGTCTGCACAAAATAATACACAAGCATTGCTTACTGTGAAGACAAGAGACACATAAAGATCACAGCCTGCCTGCAACTTGCCTGTCTGAAGAAACAAACTGTAGTACAATAGGAGTAACAAGGCCATACTGAAGTCTGGCCCCATAGTCATAGAATCCTAGCTTTGGAAAGACTACAAAGATCATCTAGTCCAGTGGTTCTCAATCTGTGGATCACTAGGTGTTTTGGCCTACAATTCCCAGAAATCCCAGCCAGTTTACCAGTTGTTAGGATTTCTGGGAATTGAATGCCAAAACATCTGAGGACCCACAGGTTGAGAACCACTGATCTAGTCCAACCCAAAGCAGAACACACTTTGCACGCCTAACAGCATGGATTCATAGAATCTCAGAGTTGGAAGAGGCTCCTCTGCTTAAAAAACCCCAAAGATGAAAAAGCCCTCCTCTCTCTGAAGCAATCTGTTCCACTATTGAGCTCTTATAGTAAAAAAGAAGAAGAAAAAAGCCTAACATTTAGGTGGAACCGCTTTTTCTTAAAATTTCAATTTACTGGATCAGTAAAAAAACAAGTGGGCTATATTTTCTACATGAGATCCCTTCAGATATATAAAGATGGCTATCATGTCACCTCTTAGCCTTCTCTTTTCCAAGCCAAACATACCCAGCAACCTAAGTCATAAAAAAGGGCTTGGTTCTCAGAGCTTTGATCCTGGCTTCTCTGTGGACACATTCTGATTTACTGATATCCTTCTTGAACTATGACACAGTATTCCAGATGAGGTCTAACCAAAGCAGAATAGCATGAGACTCTTACTTCCTGGATACTACGGGCATTCTTACATGCAGCTCTTAGAACAGGTTCTGTCATTGCAAGCCCATTTTGCTTAAGACAGGCAAAACCTGCCTGCCTAATCCTCATCGAAAGCACTTTGAGAAAGCTCACAGCCCACAACATGAACACAGTACATGCCTATAACTCCAAAGTTGCTGCAGAAACAGCTTCATATTACTGTATCACTGAAATCACTTTGCATGTGCATAGAGCAGCTCCAAAACGGGGATACAGGCAACCCCCAAGTTACAAACAAGATAGGTTTGGTAAGTTTGTTTTTAAGTTGAATTTGTTTGTAAGTCAGAACAAGTACATTTTTGACTGCAACTCCAACCATATATATATATATATATATATATATATATATATAGAGAGAGAGAGAGAGAGAGAGAGAGAGAGAGAGAGAGAGAGAGAGACACACACACACACACACACACACACACATATAGTATTCTGCAGCTTGTTGTTACAGTATTTTCTGTTGATCATGGGGGGTTCTGTGTGGGAGGTTTGGCCCAATTCTATCGTTGGTGGGGTTCAGAATGCTCTGTGATTGTAGGTGAACTAATCCCAGCAACTACAACTCCCAAATGTCAAGATTCTATTTTCCCCAAACTCCACCAGTGTTCACATTTGGGCATATTGAGTATTGTGTAGAGTTTGGTCCAGATCCATCATTGTTTGAGTCCACAGTGCTCTCTGGATGTAGGTGAACTACAACTCCAAAACCAAAGGACACTGTCCACCAAACCCTTCCAGTATTTTCTGTTGGTCATGGGAGAACTGTGTGCCAAGTTTGGTTCAATTCCATCGTTGGTGGGGTTCAGAATGCTCTTTGATTGTAGGTGAACTATAAATCCCAGCAACTACAACTCCCAAATGACAAACATTTTATTTTTTTTAGTGAAGGACATACATTGTGTTGTTAGGTGTCTTGTGTTCAAATTTGGTGTCAATTTATCCAGTGGTTTTTGAATTCTGTTAATCCCACAAATGAACATTACATTTTTATTTATATAGACTAGCTGTCCTGTCACGCACTGGACCAGTGTGAGTATATATGTGCTTTGTGTGTGTATATATTTGTTTACATATGTATATATGTGTGTTTGAGGTTTTATATATATGTGGTTTTGCAAATGCGTTGTATTTTTATTTTATTTTTTTGCTTTTTAAGCCTCTCCTGATGTGTTTTTCAATGTTTTTTTGAGTGAAGGACATACGAGGGGTATTTTTTAAGCAAGGCCCGTTGGAACATAAGTACACAACGAAAGATTATTTCAAAAAAGTAAATTTATTTTCAGAAAGTACATACTTCACTCTATTTTTCGACATAGTTGCCAAGTTTGTTCAAACACTTAACATAACTTTGAAACAATTTTAAAATGCCTTCTTCATAAAAACTTGCCGCCTGCTCCGATAACCAAGAGTTCACTGCCGTTTTCACGTCGTCACATCATGGACGTTGTCACGGCCATCTTTGAAATGCCGTACCCACTTACGCACTTTGCTTTCACTCATAACAGTATCACCGTACACTTCACAAATCTGTCGATGAATTTCTGCAGCAGGCAGGTTCCTTGCTGACAAAAACCGTATCACTGAGCGAACCTCACATGCGGAGGGTAAGTTGATAGTCTTAAACATTTTTAAAGCACAGAACAGAACCGTAAAGGTTAGCTACAGAGCGGAAACTGAGCACAGTTGTTCCCGAGGCATGGCGGTACACGACGCACGTGCTCGTTGCGGTATGCGCGCGAACTACTAGTGTCTACAACAAAACGGACCTTACTTAAAAAATACCCCTCGTACATTGGGTTGTTAGGTGTCTTGTACCCAAATTTGGTGTCAATTCGTCCATTGGTTTTTGAGTTATGTTAATCCCACAAACGAACATTACATTTATATATATATACTAGCCGTCCCCTGTTGCTGTGGCCCAGTCTGGTGATCTGGAAAATAAAGTAATGGTTTCTAATATGTGTAATTCCTTTATGCTTGTGGGTAAACAGTATTCCTTGTTGTTTCTATGTCAGTGTTGATGTGCAGATTGTCTGGTTTGCCTACTCTGGAACATGCAACTTATAAGTGTCCTTCTTTAAGAGTCCCTTTCAAATCTATGATACTATATCTGTGTGTGTGTGAATTATATCTCTATCTATCTATCTATCTATCTATCTATCTATCTATCTATCTATCTATCTATCTATCTATATCTATGGCTGGATGGCTCTTTGTCAGGAGGACTTTGATTACGTTTTCTTGCCCTGAAGAAGGGTGTTGGATTGGATGGCCTTTTCTGTTGGTCATGGGGGTTCTGTGTGGGAAGTCTGCCCCCATTCTGTTGTTCATGGGGTTCAGAATACTCTTTGATTGTAGGTGAACTGTGAATCCCAGTGACTACAACTCTCAAATGTCAAGGTTTATTTCCCCCAAACTCCATCTTTGTTCATATTTGAGTGTATTGAGTGCTTGTGCCAAGTTTGGTCCAGAACCATCATTGTTTGAGGCCACAGTGCTCTCTGGATGTAGGTGAACTACAACTCCCAAACTCAAGGTCAATGCCCACCAAACCCTTGTAGTGTTGTCTGTTGGTCATGTGTGCCAAGTTTGATTCAATTCCATTGTTGACGGAGTTCAGAATGCTCTTTGATTGTAGGTGAACCGTAAATCCCGGCAACTACAACTCCCAAATGACAAAATTATAATTTTGGATTGGGGAAAAAACTTCAGTGGAAACCCCTTTTCCCCATGATAACTGTTTCAGGAGTGAATTTTCTGATGGGGAGATTTCCTCTCATTACCTGTCATCTTTACCCTGTTCTTAACCACAAGACAGATATTTGTAATTCATAGAATGCCTGTATTCCCATTTTCATGAACGACTGCTTCAACATGACTTGAAGATTGGTTGCTGGAAATTTACAACAATGTCATGCAATTGTAAGTTTTTTCATGTGATAACGTTCTTTATTCCTGATAATGCAATCTAGAGTTGCATTGCCTTTATGGCCATTAACTGCTGACTCATGTTTATCTTGTGATCTATTCAGACCTTTTGCACATTTTCTGCTTTTAAGCCAGGTATCAGCCCTCTTGTATTTGAATATTTAATTTCTCCTGCCCAGTTGTAGGTTCTTTGCATACCTTACATTTCACCTTGCTGTCATTTATATTATTGCTTTTAGTTCATTTTTTGTTCTCTAATCTGTCAAGGTAATTTTGAATTCTCATCTTGTCCACTGAGATATTAGCCATTTTCCTTAATTAGATACCGTTTGCAAATTTGATAAGCATAATCTTTATTCCACCATCAAAGTCATTTATAAAAATGCTAAACAACACTGAGCCCAAGACAGAACTGTGAGGAACCCCACTAGCCACTTCTTCTCAGGTTTCTTTCTTTCTTTCTTTTGAGGAATCTTCCCATCCTTTATTTATTGTCTACATTGGGTTTCACGAAGAAGAATTCGGAGACATAAAAGAAAGAGGGGGAAAAAAATTCTAAAAACCCATTCCCTGAAGAAAGGGCACTAAAAAGGTAAACAAATAATAATACCAGAGGAGCCGAACCACGTTTTCTTCCCCCACAGACTGGGAAGTGAGACACAACTTGCTGGAATGTTCGTCCAAAGAGAAACAGAAAGACGGAGAGCAGAGGAGGTTCCTTGTGGGGGTCCTAAGGGGGCAGCGGGCCTTGCATGGGCCCCCGTGGAGGCACCATGGGTCTCTGGGCGGGACGTGGCGGGAGAGGGATTTGCTGGTAGCCGTAAGGAGGGGGGCCAGGGGGACCATTGTAGCCGTGGGGCGGCATCAAGGGAGGAGGGCCCCGCATCCCGTGGGGTGGCATGGGGCCAGGGTGACCCATCAGCGAACCGAAGTGAAGCCCCCTGGGCGGCATTCCCATGGGGGGTGGCCCAGGGTGAGGCATTCCAGGAGGAGGGCGAGGGGGTGGCTGGCCCTCGGCTTCAGGGGGACCTGGATGATGCGGTGAACCTGCATCTGGGCCATCCCTGGATGCATCCCGCTGGGAGGGAAAGGATGTGGGTGGGGAGAATGGGCTGCTCCAGGAGTGCCTCTGGAGGGTGGTCCTGGGGCTCCGGCACCAGGTGGCAT